ATTTTTCAAAAGAAGAGATTTTATTTATTCATTCATTTATTTATTTGAGTTGGAGTCTCACTCTGTCACCCAGACTGGAGTGCAGTGGCCGCTCCTGGCCACCGCAGCCGCGACCTCTACCTCTGGGGTCCGGCAATTCTTCTGCCTCAGCCTCCCAAGTAGCTGGAACTACAGGCGCGTGCTACCACGCCCAGCTAATTTTTGATTTATTGTATAGATGAGGTCTCGCCAAGTTGTCCAGGCGGGTCTTGAACCCGCGGGTTCAGGCAATCCACTCACCTCAGACTCCCAAAGCATGGGATTACAGGCTGAGCCACCAAGCCCTGCTAAGAAGAGATTTTAAATGCTCAACATCAATAATCATCAGGGAAATACAAATCAAAACTACAATGCAGTATCATCTCACCCTAGCTAGAATAACAATTATAAAAAATTAACAAATGCTGATGGGGACGTGAAGAAAAGGGAACTAACACTGTTAGTGAGAATACTAATTAGTATAGCCATTCTGGACAATTCTATGGAGAGAACTAAAAATAGAACTACTATGCAATCCACCAGTCCCACTACTAAGTATTTATTCAAAGTAAGGAAATAAGTGTATCAAAGGGATAACTGCACCCCATGTTTATTGCAGCACCATTTGCAATAGCCAAAATATGGAATAAGCGTCTATCAATGGACGAATGGATAGAGAAAATGTGATATATATACACAATGGAATACTATTCAGCCATAAAAAGAATGAAATTCTATCTTTTGCAGCAGTGTGAATGGAACTGGAGGTCATTATGTTAAGTGAAGTAAGCCTAGGAGAGAAAGACAATATTGCATGTACTTCACTCATATGTGGCAGCTAAAAAAATTGATCTCATAGAAGTAGAGAGTAGAATGATAGTTACTAGAGGCTGGGAAGCAAAAGAGGTAGAAATAAAGAGAGGTTAGTTAATGGGTGCAAACATAGGCCTAGAGTTTGATGACACAGTGGCCTGACTATAGTTGGCAATAATTTATTGTATACAGTCATGTATTGCATACAGACATTTCAGTGATGAAGAACTGCATGTATAATGGTAGTTCCATAAGATTATAAAGACCCTGAAAAATACATATCATATCACCCAGTGATGTCTTGATGATCCTGTCCCTGTAGGTCTAAGCTAATGTATGTGTTCACATCTTAGTTTTTAGTAAAAAAGCTTTAAATGTTAAAAGATAAAAACAGAAAAAAATAGAAAAAAGTTTATAGGATAAGGATATCAAGAATATATTTTTGTATAGATGTATAATATGTGATAACTCTTGTCATCATCAGAGTCAAAGGTTCAAAAAATCAAGTTTATAAAGCATAAAAGCTACATTAAGCTAAGGTTAACTTATTATTGAAGAATTAAAAAAATAAATTTAGTGCGGTCTAAGTGCAGTATTTATAAAGTTTACAGTTGTGTACAGTAATGTCCTAGGCATTCATGTTCACTTACACTCACTCACCAATTCACACAGAGCAACTCCAGGCCTGCAAGCTCCATCCATTGCAAGTGCCCTAAACAGGTATATCATTTTAAAAAAATCTCTTAACTGTATTTTTACTAAGACTTTTCTATGTTTAGATATATAATACTTATCATTGTATTACAATTGCCTATAATATTCAGTACAGTAATATGCTGTACAGGTTTATAGCCTAGGAGTAATAAGTTATAGCATGTAGCCTAAGTATGCAGTAGCTTATTTCATCTAGGTTTGTGTAAGTAAACGTGATGATATTTTCACAATAACAAAAATCATCTAATGACATATTTCTTAGAGAACATATTTGTGTCATTGACACGACTGTATTTCTTTTTTTTTTGAATTGGAGTCTCACTGTCACCCAGACTGGAGTGCAGTGGCTGCTCCCAGTCACCGCAACCTTGACCTACTGGGCTGTGGCGATCCTTCCGCCTCAGCCTTCCAAATAGCTGGAACTACAGGCGCGGGCTACCACGCCCGGCTAATTTTGATTTATTGTAGAGACGAGGTCTCGCCAAGTTGCCCAGGCGGGTCTCAAATCCGCGGGCTCAGGCAATTCACTCACTTCAGCATCCCAAAGTGTGGGATTACAGGCTGAGCCACCGAGCCCGGCTATGACTGTATTTCAAAACAGTTAGAAGATTTGAAATGTTCCTAACAAAAAGAAATGATTTTTGAGGTGTTTATTCTAAATATTCTAATTTAAAGATTATACATTGTATGTATGTTTCAACATATCATATCTACCTCATAAATACATATTATTATGTATCGATACAAACTAATTAAAAATATCCTTGTTGATATGTTTGCATGAATATCCAAGTCTGCTTCTTTGGAATATATTTCTAGAAGTGGATATGCTAGGTAAATCAACTTACATATTTCTAAGTCTTATTCTACATGCAGCTAAACTGCCTCCAAAAATATTATACCAACAAATATTCTACCAATAAATTCAAGGTAGTATTAGGGTACTCATACTCCAACACTGAATGAAATTTATGTTTAGTACTTTGTCAATCTGTTGGGGAAAAAAATGTATCTAATAGTTGTTCTAAACCAAAATTTTTTGAGAACAAATGAGGCCAAATATATTTTCACATTTTATTGGCTACTTTGTATTTCTTCTTGTCATATCCTTGACTTTTGCCATTTAGGTTTATTATTTCATACAAATAGCTTACATATTATGCATATCAACACTTTTCCATCACATATACCAAAAAAGTTGTTTTCCAACTTGTCATTTGCTTGTTTAATTTCTAAGGTATTCAGAAACATAAATTGCAGTGTACTTTTTTTGCAGAGATAGCTATCAATTATTTTTTAATAAATATTTTAGAAAGCTTCCATAATTCCAAAAGCATTTAGGTGATTAGTCTTTATATATTTTCTTCTCTTATAGTTTCAATTTTACATTTAATCTTTAGCCATTTAGGAAATTCATTTGCTATAATGAAATGAAACTTTTCTGAAAACTGTTACTGAGTTATTACCGCTCCTGATTTAAAATTTTATATGTTAAACTTTTTTATACACTGGACTTATGTCAAAGTTTTACTTTCTGCTTTATTGATCTATCAGTTGCTTTTGTAGCTCCTCCAGTCCACTGAACCCAGAACTATCATATATTAAAAATATTTTGCCTATTCTCATCTTTTTCTTTCATCTTAAGTTAAACTTACAAATTAATATGGTTTTAGCCAACAATTTTATTCACTCATACAATTATAGGTACATATAGATTCCTCACATCCTAATCACATTTTTCTTGCTATAAAAATTTTTAAATGATTTTGGATGTTGCCCATTTGTTGCTAAATTCATTCCCATATTTTATATTTCTATATGAATAAATTTTTTTTTTTTGAGTTGGAGTTTCACTCGGTCACCCAGACTGGAGTGCAGTGGACGCTCCCGGCCACCGCAGCCTTGCCTGCTGGGCTCTGGCGATCCTTTCCCCTCAGCCTTCCGAGTAGCCGGAATTACAGGCATGTGCTACCACGCCCGGCTGATTTTTTGATTTATTGTCGAGATGAGGTCTCGCCTGCCCAGGCGGGTCTCGAACCTGCAGGGCTCAGGCAATCCACTCACCTCAGCCTCCCAAAGGCACGGGATTACAGGCTGAGCCACCGAGCCCGGCTCAAATTTTTCTATTATACTTCCAAATTAATTACTCTTAGTACTGTGTATATAGTACTCTAGTTTCATATATATTTACTTTTTAACTCTTCACAAAATCATGTCAACATGCCACTCATTTTTCTGGTGAGAAAGTTATGGGAGTCAGAGGTTCTGAAAGAAATACATAAATTTAGAAAAACTTAAATACTGCTGCCTTAAGTGCAGGATTTTTCAAAGCCTGTGCGGCAAGTCCATCATAATTTATCCTTATGCATACAGCAATCTTCTTGGATACTCAAATCAACCCTAAACTCAGTAGGTTGAACTAAGTCCCCAAGGCCATACACTGGATAAGTTCCATAACAAGTGGCTTTTTCCTGTTTCTTCATGGTCAATTTAAAATCACAGGCTTCTGGGACAAAACTTCATATTTTCAGGCCATTGTCTCTGTAACCACAGGAAAAAGACAACAGACTTTTTTAGATATACTAGATCTGAAATTTTATTCTCATTTCCCACACTCATTCACACATTCACACTGCTATCTTTACATATTTAGGTGAGAAAATAAAAAGCGCACATTCGAATTTCATCTTTCCTAGGTAACCTGCTCAAGTCATGTTTTCTACTTCTCATCTAGAACATGATGAATGTCATATTCTACTTAGTAGAGAAGGCTTATATTGCAAGATTGGGTTTGAATGGAATCCGGGTAACCTAGCCCTTATGTACCAACAATTTGATGGCTTTTCCCCCTGAGGTTTTATCTAATAATATATTCTTAATCAAGAAAAGATCTCAACTTCCTACTGCAATAATTCATAGAACTTACACTACTTTATTTCCTAATTTTCTTCATTATCTATGACATGTTGCATTTTAGAAAAAGAATGCAAGGGTAATAAACAGGTATATGGCATGTTCTCTATATCTCTACTGACTGCTTAGTGACTACTATACCCTCACATTGGGAGTCATACCTGATGTACAATAAATAAGTCACAGTTGTGAACCACATCTATAGAAACCTAAATTAGCAGTAAGTATAATAAATATGAATCTTAAAGAGCAACTAATTAGGTCATCCTATTTTTCAGGTGAAGTAATTAAGGTCTAAAGGTGTAAAGTGACTTATCTCAAAGTAAAAGACCTAGTTAGCAATAGAACTGAGACTGAGATTCTGGACTTTCAAAACCCAGAAGCATGTTCTTTTTACAAAACCATATGGTAATTCTAAGAAGTTGACATTTTCATGATCCTCAAGCTGTTTCCCTAGGAGGAGTCTCCATACTAAGCAGGCAGACTACCAAAGCACTCAGAGGATCTCTCTCCACTGTGAGGTTTTTCATTGTTGAAGAGTTTCACCTCATGATTTTTTCACACTCAGTATGTATATCTGATTTCTCTCCACTGTGAATTTTCTGGTGTTTTGTAAGATATGTGCTCTGGCTAAATGCTTTCCCACATGCATTAGATTTATAGGGTTTCTCTTCAGTGTGAGTTTTCTGATGGTTTTTAAGATCTGCTCTCCGGCTAAAGGCTTTGCCACATTTATTGCATTCATAAGGTTTCTCTACAGTATGAATGATCTGATGTTGAATAAGGCCAAAGCAGTAACTAAAGACTTTTCCACATTGATTACATTTATAGAATTTTCACTAGTATGAGTTTTCTGGTGATTTGTGAGGTTTGTACTCTGACTAAAGGTTTTTCTATATATATTATATAGAGAGAGTTTTTCTCCGGTATGAATTCTCTGATGCTGAATAAGTGCCGACTGATCACTGAAGGTTTTTCCACAGTTACTGCATTTATAGGACTTCTCTCTGGTATGAATTCTCTTATGTTGAATTAGGGCTGAACAGAAACTGAAAGCTTTTCCAGTCATTACATACATAGGGCCTCTCTCCAGAGAGTTCTTTGGTGCTGAATATGTCCTGAGCAGTCACTAAAAGCCTTCCCACATTCATTACATCTGCAGGGTTTTTCTCCTGTATGAACCCTCATATGTTGTGTAAGGAATGAACTCTGACTGAAAGTTTTCTCACATTCATTATATTTATACGGTTTTTCTCCTGTATGACTTCTCTGATGTTGAATAAGGTATGTGCTTCTGCTAAAGGCTTTTCCACATTCGTATGGTTTATCTCCAGTATGAATTCTCTGATGTTGAATAAGAGCTGAATAGTTACCAAAGATTTTCCCACATTCATTACACTCATAGGGCTTCTCTCCAGTGTGTGTTCTTTGATGCTGAATAAGAGCTGAACGATCACTAAAGGCATTCCCACAGTCACTGCATTTGTATGGTTTCTCTCCAGTATGCACTTTCTGATGTTGAATGAGGTATGAACAGTAACTGAAAGCTTTCCCACAGTCATTACATTCATAGGGTTTCTCCCCAGTGTGTACAACAGGATGTCGAATAAGAGCTGAGTGATCACTGAAGGCTTTCCCACATTCATTACATTTATAGGGTTTTTCTCCCATATGAATTCTTTGATGTTGAGTAAGATGTGCACTCTGACCTAAAGGACTTACCACATTCATTGTATTCATAAGGTTTCTTTCCAGTATGAACTCTCTGATGCAGAGTAAGATGTGTGCTCTGACTTAAAGCCTTTCCACATTCAAGACGCTTATAGAGTTTCTCAACCGTGTGAATTCTTTTATGCTGAGTGAGGTATGTACTATGACTGAAAGTCTTGCCACATTCAGTACACTCATAAGGTCTCTCCTCACTATAAATTCTCTGATGTTGAACAAGGACTGAGCAATAACTGAAAGCCTTTCCACATTCATTGCATTGGTAGGACTTTTCCCCTATATGACTCTTCAGATGGTTTGTTCAGTGAGAACTCTGGTGAAATCCCTTTCCACATTCATTACATTTATAGTGTCTCTCTCCACTATGAGTTATTTGATGCTGAACAAGAGTAGTACAGCTTCTGAAGATTATTCCACATTCACTAAATTTATAAGGTTTCTTTCTATCATACTGTCTTTGTATAATTAAATCTGAGTTTTGTTTTAACATCTTTCTATGTGTGCCATACTCATGACAACTCTCTTCTATAGGATCACTGCTCTGTAACAAGTATCACTCTTATCATAAAATCATTCCCAAATTCATTAGATTCTATATCTTTTCCTTTGGTAGGAATTTTTATGCAAATAACCATCTGTTGCTTCAGTATTTCTTCTGGTTTAGTCATTGATTCTTTTTTTCTTTTTCTTTTTCTTTTTTTTTTGAGTTGGAGTCTCACTCTGTTGCTCAGACTGGAGTGCAGTAGCACGCTCCCAGTCACCACAGCCTTGATCTGCTGGGCTCCGGCAATCCTTCCGCCTCAGCCTTCCAAGTAACTGGAACTACAGGCGTACACTACCACATCTGGCTATTTTTTGATTTACTGTAGAGACGAGGTCTCGCCAAGTTGCCCAGGTGGGTCTTGAACCCATGGGCTCAGACAATCCACTTGCTTCGGCCTCCCAAAGTGCTGGGATTACAGGCTGAGCCACCGAGTCCCGCCAGTCATTGATTCTTAAACTGGCCTCCAAATTTCCAGGCTTATTCCAGGACAGATTTTCTCTTTTTAAGTTGTTTTGTCTTTATTCTTTGAGATGAAACTTCTTTGGAAATGTCCTACTGCTCCACTGTTGACTTCTTGGCCCAGGTCCAATCTTCCCATCTAAAATACATAAAAATACAAATCTACTATGTGTCAAATTCTGGGAGACAAAAAGTTGCTATATTAGAAATATAGAGAACACAAAGTACTGGGAATATAAATATGATCTAGTAATCTAGGAAGGGGAGAGATGAAAATACTAGTGGTATGAAAGGGTCTGATTCAGGACATAAAGTAATCAAAGATTATGAAGCAAACATTTTGTTAGGTGAGAAGAATTAGGGAAAGAGGTAAATCATGGAGATTAGAAAATAAAAACAAGCCGGGCTCGGTGGCTCAGCCTGTAATCCTGTGCCTTTGGGAGGCTGAGGTGAGTGGATTGCCTGAGCCCGCGGGTTCAAGACCCGCCTGGGCAACTTGGCGAGACCTCATCTCTACAATAAATCAAAAAATCAGCCGGGCATGGTAGCACACGCCTGTAGTTCCGGCTACTTGGAAGGCTGAGGCGGAAGGATCGCCGGAGCCCAGCAGGTCGAGGCTGCGGTGGCCGGGAGCAGCCACTGCACTCCAGTCTGGGTGACAGAGTGAGACTCCAACTCAAAAAAAAAAAAAGAAAAAAAAGAAAAGAAAAACATAATGAGTAGGAATTAAGAAAGGAAAATTGTTATAAGAGAAAGATGGTCTAAAGGACAAAGGAAAGAAAGAAATGAGAGAAAAAATTTTTTTAACATAAAAACTAATTATTAGGTCTTTACAGTGATAAACCTACAGTTTGCTCTCAGTCTTAGAGCCATTTTCTAAGAAATCTCTGTGCCATGAGAGCCAAGTAGAGGAAGAAGCGAATGTGCAGGCTGAAGCACAAAAGAAGATGAGGCAGACGTACAAGTAAACCTCTAGCATGTGCATCCATGGAGGCCACAGGAGTAGAAACATGGAATGCCAGAGGCTTGGGATGCTAGTACAAGTTGTCAGACTGCATGCTGTCTAACTTGTCTCTCAAGGAATCTACAACTCCATGCCATTTGATCACCAAGACCACCTCTGAGAGATCCACTTTGCTTGCTCATTATACCACAACAGTCCCTGTTGGTCCTTGCCCTGGACTGTGACATTCTGGACTAGTTCTGTGTTGAGTTGTGGCTGAGTGTAATAAGTGTACAATAAATCATCTCTTCTGCTGTCTTAGTTGATAAAAACAAAACCTACATTTTTTTTTTTTTACTCTCAGTCATGAATAAAAAGGCAAATAATATTAAACATGGAGAAAAAGAAGGATGACCATTCTTTTTATATATCAGTATACCTAAGAAGTAGTTCGTCACTCTGGAGTCATACTTAAGAGTGAGTTACTAACATTATGATTGAAAGTTAAGGGTTGGTGTTTAAGGATATGATTTATGATGGGTTTCATTGCAGGAAGACTGGGCAGGGACCTGGATGATTAGGGAAGCCCAAAGGTTGGCACCTATAGGCTTTTTATCTCAAGCTGATTAATTTCCCAGAATTAATTACTTCAACCTTCTACCTGGGTAGGGAGTGACATGAAGAACCTTACCTGCTCATGCTCTGAGTCAAGTGAAAGGAAATATTGGGATGGGTATCTCTCTATTCGGCATGTAGATTTTTGCTTAAACATCTGTTTTTGGCGTCCCCTAGATTCTGGCATATCAGTGAACATTAAACAAGAGGAATTATTGATTTTACTAGTTGCACTCCTAACATTCAACTTATTCCTCATTCTAACTCTAATTTATTATTGCTTTTCCTGCCCAATTAAAAGTCCATATAGTAGTCCTTTCTTCCTTGTTTTGCCTATATTTTGGAGCCCCACTCAAAATAAAATAACTAGACCCACAACACCGCTAACCCCAAGTTTTTCCGATCTCCTACAATACTTACTGTTTTAACTTAAAATTTTAGCACTTAGCTGTATTGTATATTGTTTATCTATTACCTCATATGCATATGCTGTCTTCAGAGTTACCATTTTATGTCTCAGAAAAAAGGAAAAGAACTTTGATACATTTTTTGGTTGTATAGCTAATACTACCTGAACGTATACTAGGCTGACTCACAATATCAATATATTTAATCCTCTGAACAAGTCTATAAAGTAGATAACAGAATCTCCATTTCAAGGGAGGTTCAGAATGCTGAAGTCACTTGCCCAAGGTTATACATAAGCCAGACTTCAGAGTCTAAATTCTTAATTTCTACTGCTGCCCCAAGAACAATCTGATGTAGTAGAAAGATAATCAGCAGACACTCAGAATATACTGAGTTTGAACCACAACTCCTACTGGCTAACTGTGTGACAGCAGGGAAAAACTTCACATCTGGTACCTTTCCAATCCTAGATACTGCTGATCATGTGATATTTCAAATATAAAACTTTTAAACAAGTACTGAATTCCTCCCATACCTTTGAGGTAAAGGTCCTTAATAATTTGGTCCACCTACTAATGAGCCTCCTCACCATTTGTTATTCTCACACACGCCTTATCTTTTAGTCAAATCTCTATGTCTTTCTGCACATGCTGTCTTTCTACCTACTTTTTGCTGAGCTAATTCCTGCTCATTCTTCATGATTCAATTTTAATATCATTTCTGCTAGGCTCCTGATCTTTGTTCCTATAGCCTCTATAATAATAATTATTATTCTTATACACAATGATAGCTGACATTTAGTTAGTGCTTATCAGGCTTAGATTGATTACTGTTTTAAGAACTTCACACATATTTAATCACTTATCTCTTCTTCACTACAATGCCATGAAGTAGGAACTATTATTATCCTCATTTTATGAATGAGGAAATGGGGCATATATTTTTCAATACAGTAACTACTGGCCACACGTGGTTACTGAGCATTAGCAATATGGTTAGTCTAAGGTGAACTGTGCCATAAGGATAAAATACATACCAGATTTCAAAGAGTCAGTACCAAAAGAAATGTAAATATCTCGTTAATAATTTTTAATATCGATTATATGTGGAAATGATTTTTTGGCTATTTGGGATAAATGATACCATTAAAATTAATTCCACGTTTTTCTCATTAATTTTGTATAACATGGCAACTAGAAAGTTTAAAATTACATAAGTAGCTTACATTATATTTCTACTGGTCATTATTAGACTAGAAAGATAAATTTGTTCAAGGCTACAGAGGTAGTAAATGGCAGTGTCAGTCAGAGTCCATCTTCTTCATCACTGCTCCCAATGATGTGTCAGCATAAGCCCATCACAGCACTTACCACAGTCCCCTTCACTAGCCTCTGGAGATCAGAGAGCAAAGTCTTTCACCTTCGAGTGCTCAGCTCCTGGCACAATACTGGTACATAGAATATGCTTGATGTATGGAAAGATGATGACAGTTTTGGGGGGTTTTTTGAGAATGCTGCAATGACAGTGGTTTTTAAGAGTAGTCCAGCAACTTAAAAACAACAACAACAACAATAACAAACAAAAGTGCCAAGTCCTAGAAAGTATTTAAATCAAAAGCCAATATCCTGATATTTGAAAAATGAACTGTATGATAGTATCTGCTGTTTAAATAACTATAGGCATAAATGCTAAGAGGGATATTCAACCTGAAAACAAAAACAACCACGGCAAAGCAACTTTTCATAGCTATTTAATATTAAGAGGCAGGAACAAAAATGATGAAGGGAGCCCATGGAAACTTAGAAAAATTAGATGAATCAGAGCTTTATACTGTCAGGCACATCATAAGAAGATGGCTTCATAAAAGATAGTGAACAGGGCTAAGAAAAGATCATCAGGCTGGGAAAGGTGGCTCATGCCCGTAATCCCAGCATTTTGGGAGATGGAGGAAAGAAGATTGCTTGAGCCCAGGGGTTCAAGACCAGCCTGAATAATTTGGCAAGACCTCATGTTTACAACAAATCAAAAAATTAGCTAGGCATGGTGGTGTGTGCCTGCAATTCCAGTTACTTGGAAGGCAGGGTAGAAGGACTGCCTGAGCCCAGCAGGTCAAGGCTGCAATAACTGTAAGCATACCACTATACTCCAGTCTGGACAGTAGAGTGAAACTCTGACACACACACACAAACATACACACACACACACACACACACACACACACACACACACACAAGTCATTACATTATCCCGAAAAAAAAAAGTCACCCCCTTCATAAGCATATTTACAATACAGTGGTGAGGAAACAAATTATAGAGTCCAGAAGTATATGTATGGTCATTGTAAGAGCAATAGTTGTTAATCATGAGTAATCTTTATTGAGTACTTGCTACGGACTAGGCAGCATTCTAAGTTTTTGCAAGTGTATTATTTAAGCTTCACAAAAACTCAATAGCAGAGCCATTTCATTATAGCCATTTCACAAATGAAGAAAATGGGGTACAGAA